GAAGAACTAAACAGATCTTTCTCATATTGCAATGATCAATTCTATTTCTTTCACATTAAGTACTGTACTAGTAAATATGTGAAATGACAAACTCACTTTGAAGGTTGGCTTTCATACACATCAGTATTAAGTTTAGATCAAAAGTTACCTCAAGGTGCATTAACTGTTAACATGACTCGATCAAACAGATTAGAGGAAAGAAGAGAAAAGATCGAACTGACAAAGAACTAATGAAGATGGTACAATGGTGGGTGCCAAGATCCCTCTGGGATCTCTTGTTATAGCATGTCAGCTAACCACTCTTTGAATGATGCAGATCTTATTTCAGTGTAAGAAAGTATATAACACTTTATGGCATTCCACCTGTGTGTATTTTTCCGCCCTTCTTCTTAACTCACCTGGCACAAAGGGCAAAGTGAGCTTACATGTATGCAGTTGTGTGGTGTCTGTCTGCTGTTCAGTTTTTCTTCTCAATAACAAGCAGGCCTAGTAGGATGATGATATTTGTCCAATAGCATGGATGGGTTAGGGGCTACCAACTTTGTTCAAAAGAATGACTGACTTACTTTCAGGAAAGGTCACATGGGTCATATTTTCTTAAAGAAAAAAGGGGGTTAATGGTTAAGGTGTCTGACTTCTGCAATCACTAGCTCTCCACCACTGGGTTGCAGGTTTGAAGCTTATATGGGGCAATCGCCAGGTACAAATACTGGCTGCATGCCAATGTTTTTTCTCTGGCTTTCCTCCAACATTGAAACCTGGCATGTCTTTATATGACCATAACTGTTAATAGGACATGAAACAGGTTCCCCGATGAATGATGATTGGGTATCATGATTATATATATAACTTGAGTTAATTAATTTTCAAATTGTATAATGGCACAAGGTTAACAAAGTGTTTTTTTAATTTGGAAGTTAACTTACGAGAGTTAGATAACATGATAATCAACCATCACAAGTTTGGTGACCTTTTTCTCCCACAACACTAGGATATTACATCTAGAAAACCATGTTTCTCTTGTGAATACATTTTCCCGTTTCCGATCGGGGAAACAATTGCCAAGA